TCTAACTCAAACAAAGAAACTCCCTACTTAGCGCTAAAACTTCAAACCAACCAATCATATTACTTGAAATCCAAATAATCATGAATATTCAACAATACGTCAATAATGTAAGGAAACGTTTCAATGTAATCAAAATTTAGTAAAGACAATATGTTTTGTAGTTTTATTTCACATTAACATAATTATACATCTTTATTTTACAATTAGATCTACACAAAATAAAGAGGCTATCACATTAGCCCTATATAACTATACGTTATCCGATGAAGAACGACATTCGTAAAGTTGTCACATAGTTAGACATTAAAAATATATTATGAAAATGGTTGACAAAATCGTTTCAATCGGCAATCCTCGAGTGAATCCGCTAACGGAATCGAACGAGTTTAGACGAGTGAAAAACGTATCAGTGATTTTCAAGAGTTGTGTCCCTTAAACTAAGTCTACATCCTAAACTAAGGAAAACACGAAATTGTTTACAGAAGTACCACGAATCCACCGATCTGAGGATACAAAAACAGCAAATAAAACATCAAAAGGATAATGGGAAAAAAAAAAAAAAAAAAAAACTAAACTAAAATTTAAGCAGAATTTGTAAAATATTAACATTTTTATTTTCTATAAGGTAATTGAGATAAGTTCAAATATCGTTTTTGAAAGAGCCACGATCAGGTTAACTTTTTTGTGTTTATAATGTAATGCATTATCTAATAAAGGAATATCAAATATAGTAGCGGAAAAATTAGAGTGTATCATAAAATCATTCCAGTACCGATGTACAGTCTCCTACTGCTTTTAGTTTCAAAGCGAATTTCAGATGATTCATTTATTGAATACAGTCTCGTTGTATCAGAGTGGCCATTTTCCCGAAATATGAGCACGAAAAAAAAAACCATTTATTACTCTGAGTCTTACATAAAATTTGAATGGTTGAAATGAACTCTACTCACATATATGTAGCTCCTCTATTTATTAGATATGTACACATCCAAGTCACGATACAGTCTGGAATATACATGCATCCATACAAGACAAGTAATGTGCCTTTAAGCAGTTTGCACATTTTGTGAATTTTTTTTTCTCATTTGAATGTCTTTTGTTTTTTTGTAATGGCGTTATCAGTTTCGATACTCAACTTGTGAGTTTTGATTGTCCAGTTTGTATCATCTGCCTCATTCTTGTAATGGTTGAAAAGTATGATATATAGTAGGAAAAGGAAAGATAATAAAAATATAATTGTTAAAAAAAACGGAACACTTATTTCAAGTTGCACACACCACGCTTAAAAATATTTCTTAAATCGTGGAACAAACTGATCTTTTAAAGAAAGGAAGAATACTATCAAACCAAGGGGCAATTGAACATTTTATACCAAAACTCGGAGAAAGACAGAAAATACAATGGTCAAAAGAAAAAAAGACGAAAAGAAAAATAATACAGTTCATTATGACCCGACGGCATAAACATACCAAAAGACATCTAGAGGTAAACATAATGTCTCCAACAATAGATAACCGTGTAAGCAATATAGCAAGCTCGAAGTTAACACGCTTTTATGAAATTTAACAGATATTATCAAAGATCTGCCATCTATACCAAATTCCCGAAAAAAAAATGACAACCAATTACGAGGACTTTGGATATTATACATTCACAGGAAAATTTGACACTAGATTTTGATATTTTCATCCCACACCTTGTAATCTCGATCATTGTAATGACTTTGAGTAAATAAAAACGTAAATAAAATTAGTACAAGAAAGTACTAAACACTGTAATACAGGTACCGGTACCATAGATAACAACTATAAGCAATACAATAACAAACAGTACCATACAACAGAATGCTCCCATTAACTGAATGCAAGCTCGAGCTAGTAGTACCTAACCTGATAATTTGAAATCTGTCATCTCATAAATCGGTGGCTGTACTTCAGGGTAGATTTCAAGCTACAACGTCATAATCGGTACAGGAAGACAGTTATTAAGTGTTTAAAATTAAGAGCAACACCCTGAATATTTAGAATTTTAATTCTGAGAAAATAAAAGTTACATTATAAAATTGAGAACAATTGAGAAAGAGACAACAACCCGACAAAAAAAAAACAGAAAACAGCCCAAGGCCACCAATGGGTCTTCAACACAGCGAGAAAATCCCGCACCCGGAGGCGGGCTTCAGCTGGCCCCTAAACAATAATGTAGAGTATTTCAGCGAAAATGGACGTCATACAAAACTGTGATAGCGATAATTTGTGTAAATTGTGTATGTTCATTTGGAACTATTTAAAAAGAGTATTTTTCTTTAACTTGATATTTTTGGACTTTCACTGACAAACTGATCGGTCATAATATGTCATTATATTGTTATACTAATTATTATTTTATCGAAATCATTTGATTTGCAATATTTGTCCGTCAAGGTATTTTTTATAAAGATTTTTCTTTATAAAGATTTTTCTTTATAAAGCTTTTTGTGTTATAAGTAACAATTAAGTGTTAATATATTTTCACAAAGACGGAAATTTGTTTCAAGATAATACTTTTGATAAATAATAGATAAAGTCACAGCTTTACATAGTTATTAAGTTTTCTTAGTACGTAAAGAATAATTAATCTTTTAGTCATTTCAATTAGCGCTTATTCAGCCTAAAACTCAAGCGACAGATTTTTGTTATAATATTCTTTTCTTAATCCTTTAAGTGCTAATTGTATGTTTTTTCATTGTCATTCGATAACCTCGTTTCTATTATGCAATTGTAACCCAGCAAAATTCTTAATTTAAATATGTTTTCTGAAGTTCTTACTTCAGTGAAAGTCGGGCATTCGTACTGACAACATCCGCCCAATTTCAAAACTACATGTATTCCATCCTGAAATCATTAAATTGTTAACTACTGCAAAGGACTTGTGTCTTATTTTACCAGTGGAGTTAAAGCGAGTATTCTCAGGCAAGTGACTAGGTCCTAGTCATTGTCTATCGTTGGCATCGCCAACATCTGCAACCGGTCGTGGGTTGCCTCTCGTTATCATCGTCATTCCAATAGCCAGTCTCCCGGTTACAAAACTCCGAAACATATATATGAACCAAAATTATAAAAACATACAACACTAACAAAGGCCAGAGGTTTCTGACTTGGGACAGGCGCAAAAATGCGGCGGGGTTACACATGTTTTGTGAGATCTCAACCCTACCCCTATACCTCTAGCCAATATGGAATAAACAAACACACAGGAATACGCACAGTAAAACTCAGTTTAAAAGAAGTCCGAGTCCGATATAAGAATAGGTAACAGAAAAAACTAAGCAAAATGACAATGATCAACATAAATTAACAAAGGACTACTAGCAGTTACTGACATGCCAGCTCCAGACCTCCATTAAACTGATTGAAAGATTATGTCTTTATCATATGAAAATCAAGCACAATCCCTCTCGTTAGGGGTTTAGTATCATACCATCGTAAAATATACGAGAAGAACATAACCCGTATCATTACAGTCTTGCTTCAAATTACAAATCAGCGAATTGATAATCATCTCACAAATACAAAGTGCAATGATTGAAATAATACAATTATATCGTTTGTTTGCAAGTCAAACGAATATTTAAAGGACTATTTCTACACTTGCTAGTATTATGAATAATATTGGTTTCCATTGCAAATTTTAGAAGTTTGCCATATCTAAACAGTTAGATGTAGAACTTTTATACCGATTCTTTACGTTATTCATCACGTATAGTTACGTAAGACCAAACTGCATGCAACATAGTTTTAAAAAGTCGACCATAAACGAGGCTGAGTTTCAAAGAGCAAAAAAAAAAAAATGAAACATATTCTTTTTTAGTGAGCTACATCTTGTTTTTCTCTTTGAATTTGTTCCTATTTTGTCACGCAAGGGCATTTTATAGCTGAAGATACGGTATGGGTTTTGCTAATTATTGAAGGATTTACAATGACTTATAATTGTTTGCATCCTCGTCCTGTGTTCTCTAGTGTATAGTTGTCTCATTGGCGATCATACCAACAATATAGCCATTCTTCAGTTTAAGGGAATGCCCCTCCTTTTCCAATAAAGGCGGATGTGCGGTTGTGTGAAATCTTTTAAATATGCATCCCGTTCAGTTGCAAATTGGACAATAAATCAGATAAGTTGAGAGAGTGTCGTGATCTCTGCACGTTTAAGAAACTTTGCAAGAATTATTCGTTGGTCTGTGATAATGTTGCCTCTTTTCCGAATTTTCCGACCTCCATCCCGATCTTATTCTGTGTATTCTTTATTTTGTTCTCGTCCTGGACATGCACGAAACATTTACTACTGGGCATACAGCAATTATCAATTAATCTATCGTGAGAAGAAAATTCCATAAGACCCTCAGTCTGCTTGTACTAGATACTATAAGATATGTGTGCGCATTTATACCTCCCGAACAGCCAAACGCACGCACCCGGAACATGGGTCGTATTTCCGAACGGAATAATCCTAGGTTTATAAGACTGCAATCAAACGATATAAAAAAATAATTTCCTTTTACTTCAAAATACCTTGTAGTATTGTCTTTACTACTTGAAAGCATTTAACGGAATGAAGAATACCCTATAAAGAAATAACCATTTAACTTTAATTGGGATGATATTTTTTTTTTTCACTCTGAAACTGTTTTTGTACCACGCAAGCATTAAATTATTTTTATTTATTTAAAATAAAATTAAATGTAACATTGTAATGGCAAAAACTCTTAATCAGATTTTTTCTTCTTCTCCCTGATATTTTTTTTCTTGAATACATTGAATTTCTGAACATATAATGATCGCTGACGTAATTCAAAAAGCTTGCTAATAGCCTATCTTATTGGCCTTAGGCAAGTGTTTCTCTTTTTTATGTATACGTCAACAGATGGGATTACAAAGGATGAATTCCCGTTCTTGATCTCCTTGACCTAGTGTATTTATCTAAATATAACTGTATTTATTTATCACCATGAAGGGTAAATCGCCGTATTACCTGTATGACATATCAATATGGTCAAATATACGCTTATCAACGTTGAAGGTAATCTGTTTCTGTTACATAAACCGTTTCAACTGAATATTAGCCTAAGGGTGGTTTGTTGTGTATGAACGACAGAAAGTCAACACGATGGCTTCTGCAAAAACGTGGAAACCAGAATGGAAACAAGATGTTGTATATCTACATGTATTTCCTAGGATAATGTCAAAAGGGGTTCCGAATTTCTCTCCGTTTGCAGTAAAGTTAGAAACGTGGTTGAGAATTAATAAAATCGCATTTGAAGTAAGTATATCAAACTAAATTATATTCAAAATTATCACGTGATTTTACAAAGAAAAACGAACATGTAATAAGTTATTTGTTACGTGTATTTGAATGTTAACAATTTTCATGTACGTATGCACAATTTAAAAGGTCAAGTTTTAATATTTGTGCAAGTGTCACGTGTATTGGTCACACTTTTCTTCGGATAGCTGCGCTCTTATTTGGAAAATCGGAAACAATGTTGTGAATGAGAAGCTTAAAAGGAAACGATCATCATGCATCCCGAGTCTCTTTTATTAAGGACATCTAAGTAAATAAAGAAAGGCCCGAACTGGATTTTTTTTAAGTATCTTACAAACAGCTTATATTATATTAAAAACACCCCCGAGTAAACAAATCTTCTGAGAAAGAAAAAAATGTAGAAAAATTGAAAATTAAAGCTATACAAAGGTTAAATTATAAGGGTATGAATACAGAGAGTTATGGGGTATACGCCAGTGGAAAAGCAACCAAATTCCCCCAAAATAAATGAGATAACAAAACATAACCATTAAAGAGATTCCTGGCTTGAGTCAAGCATATGAACAAGACGCGAGATTATAATATAATGTTTTCTTTTTTAGATTTAAAATTACATTAATAGAAAAAAAGGAACGTAGATCACACTAATAGACATTCTTCCATAATGCTCGATCGATTCTACAAGATCATTTGGTGATATTAATGATCGTGTTGCTATCTTCTCACTCCCAGTAAATGTTACCATGGAACAGGAATTCACAAATATTTAAAAGCATGATCAAAATATATATTGTAGGTTGTAGATCACATGGGTATGTCGACAAAGGGTCAAAGTCCCTTTATCATGTTTAACCAAAAGGAATATCCCGATTCAAACTTTATAATTGAATATCTGACAGATTATTTTTCCGTTTCCATGGAGAACTGTTTATCGGATGTCGAAAAGGCAGTATCGAGGGCATTTCTCAAAATGATTGAGGAAGATATGACTTGGTAAGATAGTATAGCACTTTGAAACATCTTTAGACCATCAATTATGTTGTGGATCGGTAAATCTAGCAACTGCCGGCTTTTAGCATAAAGCAAAAACACTTTGAAACATCTTAAGACCATCAATTATGTTGTGGATCGGTAAATATAGCATCTGTCGGATTTTAGTATAAAGCAAAAACACTTTGAAACATCTTTGGACCATCAATTATGTTGTGGATCGGTAAATCTAGCAACTGCCGGCTTTTAGCATAAAGCAAAAAACATTCTGAAACATCTTTGGGCCTTCAATTATGTTGTGGATTGGCAAATCTAGCAAATGTCGATTTTAAGAATAAAGCAAAAACACGCTGAAACATCTTTAGACCATCAATTATGTTGTGGATCGGTAAATTTAGCAACTGTCGGCTTTTAGCATAAAGCAAGTTAGAATGAACATTCATTTTCAATGAAAATAAACATTTTATTTCTCTTATCGCTCACTCTTTATTTTCATGTAAAATTACAATGGTCGTATATCTATTGAATAATATATTAATGGCAGAACCATTGACACAAGTTCGTTGTTGCTAGATTCGTCTTGTCCGAATTTTTAACTTTAGATAGTTAATACTTTTTTAAACGCATATTTAGTCTAAAAGAATCAAAGAAAAATGTTGGTCGTGAATTGGCAATGTTATTGGTGCTTATTTTCTTTGATGTCTTTCTTGGCTGAATATAAGTCGATATGCATCTACCTGCATAAATCACTTCAACTTATCCACAGCCTATCAGCAACACAACATACATGTAGATCGCAAATGTCATCCTGCTCCCGTCATTCGATCTAACGATGTACAATAGGAAAGTAACTGTCTGTGGTTTTCTCCACCAATAAAAAGGACTGCAATGAAATTGTACGAATGTTTATGAAAGTCAACAAGGTAAACAAACAACACACATTTTGCGTACGTCTGGTTTTGATTGAAATGATCATTAGATTAGATACCAGTCCGAGATACTTTTGAAACCCTGCATCGGGTCTTGCATCGTACCATAATTAGTATTTTAGTAGTGTTTGATCGGTACCCAATTTGTGAACTTGAAGTAAAGCTTACGTCACAAATTTTCTCGAGAGAAATATGTTTTATATTTTCGAAAATCTATTTCATGATACGGTTAAACGCGATATATTTTGATTTGTGAGGAAGAGCAAAATTAAAAATAAGACAAAATCGCGAAGTTACGCCCTAGAAATCGCGAAAATCAACAACTTTACAGTAATTTATGATAAAGGTGACGTCACAAATTAATGTTTAGTAATTTTATATTTTAGGTCGATATTTTGGTACAGATATGTTGATCATTTCGTTGATGAATATCTAGACTATTTAAAACCAAGCGATGATCCAGAAAAAGCTAAGGCATTTGCAGAGCATCTTGGTAGTAGTGTAAGTAAGCTGGTTAACATTCATGAGAACTCTTGACAGTGGGAAATTTACTTTATAAAAAAATTATCGCTCTTGCAAACACTGATAAATGAAACTCTTCAATTTTGGCACCTTCTCCGCAAGGATATTATTGATTAAAAAGTTACAAGAAAACATTTTGGTAAAAAGTTATAATGAAACAAAGTAATCTTGAAACATTGTTACCATATAATAAATGTTATCATTTCATTTTTAATTTGAATACGACGAGAACAGCGGGCTAAAGAAGTTTTGTGTAAAATTGTTTTTAAATATTGCTATGCAAATAAAGTTCTCGACTGGCTATTAAATTATGATAGAGATACCTCAATTTATTCTTCAATTGGCTATATACTTCACTGGAAACCGCCAAATATCCGTATACGTATGTAGTCAGACCAAATCGATTGATATGCAGCAAATATAAAAAAAATTGAATATAAGTCACGTGGAAAATAAAAACTGACCTTATTAATTCCGAAATAAGCATTTATAAATGCAAATACATCGAAAAGACCGCGAAAATATGTACAATAATCGAGATGACCCAATCTAAATCTTAGCAAAAAAATTATAAATCTGTTAACAGATAATATTTTTCTTGTAACAGATTTTGAGATGAAGAACGGCAATAAAAGCGCTGTTCTTTTGCTTTTTTGTGTTTTTTGATGTGCATATACCAATTTTGTGTCCTGGATGGATACCCTTATCCTTTCTTTTCTATTATACTTTTAATTGTTGTATAATATTTACACATTTGCGATATTTGTAGGTTTCCGTGACGATTGGCAAAATTTTAAACATTAATTCTACTTTTATGATTGTCATATAAATGAATGGACCGATGGAACTAAAGTGCACAAGATAGCAACCTTACAAAGCTATAAAATAGAGAACAAAAAAGAAATGTTTTATACCAATACCAAGCTGTACTTCGCCCCCATTAACACTATCATTGATTCAATACATAACTTTAATTTATATTACAGGTAAAAAATAGAGCAGTTTCACATGGAATAGGTCGTCACAGCAACGAAGAAATATATACAATCGGAAGTGACGATATCAGAGCCATATCAAAATATTTAGGCGACAAGACGTTTATGATGGGAGATAATCCAACTCTGGTATTCATTTCATAATTTTACGAATTTTATTAATTGGTGTTATATGCTATCATATTATTTGCACTTTAATCTTTGCATATTGGAAACATGTGAGGTATACCTCAACGAGACAGCAATCCTACGACACAAAATACGAAAGAGATCTTGTTGTTGAAAAATATACAATTCTTCAACAATAGACAGGTGTCAAGCTCTTATTTGCACCGAGTTTAAAAAAAAATTGTGAATTGATGTAACATAATCTAAAAAGTATCTTTCATCAACACCGATTCCCCAAATTACAAAACAACACACAAAGACATAAAAAAGACGACCAGAAAGACGCTTTTTAGTCTTTCTCAAAATAACAAATTAACGAATTGGTATTCATCCCGAAAAGTCCAACTGATGAATCAACACCAGTCTAATTATTACCTTCATTAATATGTAAATGAAGGTATAAACTTCAATAGTAAAGATTATTTTTTTAAGATCTGTTCATACTCCGCATTCTCGTAATGACCGAAATAAGAAATTCTGTCTTAGTTATATAAATTATCGGTAATGCAGGGCTATTGCTTGCAAGCACATGAATTGTGGCGCATTAAGTTATCATTATATTATTGTCTGCTGTTAAAATATAAACTTTTCCTATTTACAATTTGGTAGTCCACTCATTTTGTTTAAATGGAACGCGACAAATAGCGGGCCTTCATCCCGAGTAAATATGAGGTAAGAACTGACAACATGTTGCATAAGATACGTCTTTGGTGTTTCCGTTAAGACAGTGATTTTGGCACTCTCCTTGTGTTTACATCTAGCTGAAAACGTCGTATTTAAAGATATTTCAAATCTTTTTTTAGATTGACTGTTGCCTGTTTGGTTTCATTATTCAGATCACAGATGTACCAATAAACTTTCCGATGAGAGACGTTATCGAAAAAGAATGTCCAAATATATTACAGTTTGTAGATAGAGTTAAAACAAAATACTGGTCAGACTGGGACCAACAATGTATATAGTATTATTATAAAATAATTAAAAAATGTTACATTTTATTTTTTCAAATACATGTACATGTATAACAAAGAATATGTTTCCCCTCCTCAGAAAACTTATAGATAAAACAACACATTCAACTTATTTCAAATCAAACATCACATTCATCTTATAAAGTTTTAAATGTAGACCGTCCACCTTTTATCCCTACTAGTTAGCCTGAAAATGTACAGACAAATTATGTCGCCCCATCATTGCCACAGTCAAATAATGCCTTGCCACATCTATTCCTACATCAAGCTATGCTGTTCCGTATTATATCTAGCAATCACCGTTTGCCAAAGTTAACATTAACAACATTCATTGGCAATATACATGTATAAGAATGGCCAAGCTTTTTGGATTCTTATGAATCAGCAGTTCATTTAAACTCAACATTAACAGATGTACAAAAGTTCAATTATTTAATGGTCCAATTAGAAAACGAAGCCGTTCAGACGATTGCCGTGTTTTCTCTCACTTACGCTAATTATTCTGAGGCCGTAAGTGTTCTTATAGAGAGATTTGGACAGATACTCAAAATAACGCAAGCTCACCTACAAGCTCTGCTTGATATCAATTACGCCATCCCGAAATAACCTCATAAGCCTGAGAATTTTCTATGACAAAATGGAGAGTTTAGTTAGAGGACTTGAACCACTTGGACAGACACATGAATCAGAAGGTAATTTATTAGTCCCTATTATAATAAACAAACTGCCAGGAGAAATCAGAAAACATCTAGCTCGGGAACATGCTACGACAAATTGGCTATTACGAGATCTTCGAAAAAGTATACATACAGAGATACAAATTATGGAAGCCGGACAAGTTACACAGACAGAACGTGATATTTCGTCGGTGCTAAATCACAAAGAAAACACAATAATACTACTAGAAATGTACCTCAGTATTTAACAGATAAGCCTTTCATTTTCTGCAAAGATATTCATTCATCTACCAATTGCCCGAAAATACGCGATTCAGAAAAACGATTCGCTATCGTTAATCGTAACAATTCATGTTTCAACTGCCTATGTACACATCACACATTTAACGACACCGCACTAGTTTATGTAGTGAAGTTGCACACACCGTGCACCCTGACAAGAGAAGTAACAACCGTTTTACTGACATGAATAATTCTATTAACAGTTGTAAGATTGAAAGTACGCCATCTACATCAACTGTGGCAAATCTTGGGAAGGATACTGAGATGCAAGACTCAACAATTTTACACTCGTCAGTACAATTTCGCCCAAATGTACTGCTGAAAACCGCTTGGACCCCCGTTTGTTCAGATCGTCATTGCACAGATACGAACATTTTTTTTTTATGAAGGCGCTCAAAAGTCTTTGTTAACGTAAAATCATGCGTGTACATTGAATCTGCATAGAGAGAGAGAGAGAGAGAGAGAGAGAGAGAGAGAGAGAGAGAGAGAGAGAGAGACGACAATATTCAACTTTCCTCATTTGGGGGAACCAACACGAATTTTAGGCGACTTGATAAAGCCATAGTATATGTTGGACCTGGAACTGGACATAAAATCCCAATAGAAGTTTTAATCGTTCCTATGATAGATGTTACACAACCACATTCGTTACACAAACAGGAACAGTAATTATTTGAAAATAAAAAAACCTTTAAAATTTCATTATTCAAATTGGAGCCGATTTTTATTTGGAAATAGTTGAAGATGAAGTTTTATCTTACCTCCTATACATTTCTAGGAATATGATTGGTTAAAAGCGTCCGCGTGGAGACCGTGTATAATCCATATTAGGTTAGTAGGGAGGCGGGGCTTATTTCATACACGGTTAGTAGTGGTGTTACGTCCCTTTATACAAACAAAACGGTACTGAGAAAAAATCTTAAAGGTTTCAACAAACAAAAGAAATTAATGAGGAAGATTGAAATAAATTCATAAAACACATTTAAACCTAACAAGTTGTTATTGTTGGCAATTGTTTTTGTAGGATCAATGGAAGAAGTTTCTTAATGGTAACGGTATTGAAGACTTGCTCGTTTTGATAGGTCACTAGTATAAATTTCACGGTGTCAACGTATATTTGTTCTGCCAAACAGAAGTTCCCCTGGAAACTTTGTTATAAACAATGTCATAATATCTGTTCCTGTTGGAACAAATATTCTATACCCTTTATTCCGTAAGGAAAAAATACTGTAATATTTGTTCCAATGGAAACAATATTACAGAATATTTCTTCCACTTGGAACTTATATTATGAAGGAACTTCTATTCCGTAACAACACACTAAGATAGTCGGTAAGATACGGTATATATGGGGTTAGTAAATTCCATATGGGGATTCGAGCTTCGCTCTCACCCCATATGGAATTTACTGACCCCATATATACCGTATTAGGTCACTAGCACACTATGTAACTAATATTATCTTACCTCCTATACATTTCTAGGAATGTGATTGGTTTTAAGCGCCCTCGTGGAGACCGTGTATATTTCATATTAGGTTAGTAGGGAGGCGGGGCTTATCTCATACACGGTTAGTAGTGGTTTTACGTCCCTTTATATTCCTTATAAGGTAGTAGGGAGGGGGGCTTATTTCATACACGGTTAGTAGTGGTGTTACGTCCCTTTATAAAAAAACAAAACGGTACTGAGAAAAAATCGTAAAGGTTTCAACAGACGAAGAAAGTGATGATTAAGATTGAAATTAATTCATAAAACACATTTAAACCTAACAAGTTGTTATTGTTGGTATCTGTTTTTGTAGGATCAATGGAAGTAGTTTCTTAATGCTGACAGTATTGAAGACTTGCTCATTTGATAGGTCACTAGTCTAAATTTCACACGTTAAGATAGGCGGTAAGATAAATTCGTTACATAGTGTGCTAGTGACCTAATACGGTATATATGGGGTCAGTAAATTCCATATGGGGATTCGAGCTTCGCTCTCACACCATATGGAATTTACTGACCCCATATATTATAAGTTATCTACGTTCATATCCGTAGATATGGATATTTTAATACCCTGAAGTATCCAAGTACACCCTGAGGCGCAGCCGAAGGGTGTACAGGGTACTGAAGCGTGTTAAAATATCCATATCTACGGATATGAACGTAGATAGCGAATTTATCCCCGGTCTTAGTCTAAATCTGGCGATTTTTAGAGAAATTCGACCACAAAGTTAAACGTGAAAGCAACGTTTTTTTCATTTTTTTAAATATCTTTTATTGAAATTTGGGAGTTTGACATATTTTTAACGGGGTGTAGGGTTCTACCTTTGGTAGAACCCTACAGGTAGACAAATATAAGACGTTTGTAAACTAGAGACAGAGAAACTGAAATGGGTCGAATTTGGCGCGCAATGTTGTGAGAGTTACATCATAAACGGTGTGACGTCAACGTGGGTCATTTGCATAGATAGGTCAGTAGTACCATTCATTGACAATGTGGCTGCATAGTGACGATTTACTAAAATGTGTGCAAATAATCGATATAATAAGATAAAATCGTTAGTGGATTAAATATTTAATTATACAGACATCATGGAAAATCTACAGAATTCGATATTTCATAAGGAACAACCATGGAACTAAGGAAAACGCGCGTGAAATTCCCCGATGTAATGGGTAGCAACGTCCGGGGATATAGGTTAGCAACACCCAGGGGCTATGGGTTTTGTAACGACGTGCGTTAACCAATCAGAATCCTAGAAATATACTAAGCCGGGGATAAACCGTATTAGGTCACTAGCACACTATGTAACTAATAGTATACGCGGAAACGGATCCACCGCAGTAATATCGAAACTCGGATACATACTTTCTGGACCGTTACATTCTGGAAAATCAAAGTTATCAACAGCGTCAAATATTTCCAATGTAATCATTTCACATAAAAGTTAAAACAGAGGAATCTTCAGAAGTACACGAAAAAAGAGACTGACTACTAGTATATATGAAGTTACCAAGAATCTTCAATTGAGTTTAACGACAACAAATAATATGCAAAGTTAAACTGTCTCATGAACATGCACCTAGCCGATACTGAATGAAGACGAAGATTTTAATTCGATTTCGACTTAACCGTTATGCCATAACAACGGAAACCGAAAAAGCTTTTCTGCATGTTGGACTACACGAAGACGACAGAGTTGTCACCCGTTTCCTATGGCAATCCATCAGATCATGATAGCCATTTGATTGAATACAGATTTAAAGCCGTTCTATTTGGGGTAACTTGCTCACCTTTCATTCTGAATTATCGTTTAACTTATTAAAACATTTATAGCAACGAAATTATAGGTCGTGACGGTGTTTATTATTTCGAGAATATTTTATTTTACGTTTTTTTGTAACTTGGTCTTTCAAATGCAGCTGAATTAAATTTGTTGTTTGCCGCTTGTATCAAAATTGACGGAAAAGTTTATGGTTAGAGTTGAGAATTTTAAATATGTACATTAGAAGAGCCTTAAATCCACGAATTATCGTTCTTTTGTAATCTTATAGATATCACAAACAAGAAGTAACAAGTCAATGATAATAAAACTAAATATTTTAACATTGAAAATATATAGCAGGAGTGTCATGAACAAGGTCTTTAGTCAAGTAATTTGTCCCGGACAATGCTTAATGTTTGCTGTAAAATAATGTTAAAATTATGGTTGTCGTTCAATAATATGTCATATATTACACGACGGGGATGGGGTGGGAAGGGATGGGCTACATGTAGGAGCTGCTTAGCAATCTGGAACACCTAAATGTGTATGTTTACCAAAGTTTTTAAAACATGCCTTTTGGTATTTTATATATCATATTGACGAATACCCCATTACCTTTTTTATTTGTTTATTTATAATGGTTTGTGAGATATAAAAAATGTTTAGTGTGGGAGAATATGTTTATTGTTTTATTTTCATTTGGCTTTGAACTAGCTTTGAGTAATTCTTGCTATTCTTAGGTAGGTACATTGTGTATTTTGTCTTCTGTTAAGGGCTTTTGTGTGCTTTGGTCCAATCTGCAGTTCCAAACCTTTTCCAACAGAGTATTACAGTTTGTTGTTATGTTGTACTGTTACAACACTGTTCAAGGTTAGAGTGAGGGTTAAAAGCTTCCAGGATTAAAAAAAAATACAGACTATTTCTGGAAAACAATTACTGTCATTTGCCAAAACGAGATATTAAATTTTGTTAGATATCTTGATAGAAATTAATGTCTTTAAACACACACATTCAATGAAAAATTTGCAGCAGTATACATCTCAAACAAATACGCCATTATTTAAAAGGTTTGGAATTATGGTAGTTCCTGTACATGTAGCTCATCATGTATAAAATTACGATGTAGTTAAAAAAAACTTTGCTTTTTTTTGGTTAAAAGAAATTTTTCATCATTTCTAAGATGAATAAAAAGCTATGACAGGGGTGTTAATATTTAAAACAAGTGTCATTAAGAGAATATTATGTGATTAGGGAAAATTAGCTCAATTCTTAAAAAGATTCGTGCAGTCCCCTATGAATTATTTACAGAGGACACGAGGACATCAAGGATGAATTTGAATACAGGTATACATCAGATTTAATTATTATCGTAGAAGTAAGAAGGAATATAAGATTAAGTTGATTTTTTGTAGAAAGCGAATAAAAAATGAACAGAAGATTAGTGTTCCTTTCTCCGTTTATAGGCATTGAAAAGAACATAATCATATTTGTATTAAAGCAATATGAATTGAATAAAAACGATTATATATTGGATAAGGTCATATTTTTCTTAGGCTGTTTTTGAAGTCATTACACTAAATCTATTGGAGCTATACTGATTGATATTCTAGTATGGGAGAAATTGTTCATTTATAAGTTGGAATTGGCTTTAGACAAGGCTAAACTTTAAGTAACTTGTACTTCTCTTAGGACGACACCTTGTGTTTTTTTTTCTTTTTGTTAGAGTTTTCTGTGTGCTATCGACGATTTGATGAATCTAGTCTTTTCCCATTTATATTTACAATGTTCTTATTTTGTTCTATCAAACCACGTTCCTATGTTTTTAATCCAGTCACATTCTTTTTGTGCAGTCACAAGTCAGTGGCTTGTTAATCATTGGTTGTCGTTGGTTGCTGTTTGTGATGTTTGTTTTTCGGTTATTGTTTTTTGGCATACATTAGGACGTTGGGTTTTCTTTTGATTTGTTCCATATTTTGTCATTTAGCGGTCTTTTAAAGTTAACTATACGGTATGACTTTTGCTCATTGTTGAAAACCGTACGGTGACCTTTAGTTGTTTGCATCCTCGTCGTTTGGTCTCAGGTAGATAGTTGACTCATAAGTAATCAAACCACATCTCCATGACATAAAGAGAACACGCAGACCAATATAAACATGAGAAATGACATATACTAATCATAAGTAATGAACTTGTTTAAGTTCGAAATCATTTCTTGTCGTCAATATTTCTATCGCCCAAACAGATAAAATTAAGGACATAACAGGATTGTATTTGAAAAATGGCAGGGAATTGAGTTTACTGACGACGCGTTAGTGGAGTCAATAACAGGATATTTGTGACCATCAAATCAAGAATCGATGCCCACAAATCTTCAAATCTGATACTTTTATCTCCATTCTAGTGCACATTAAAGTCGGAGTCAGTCAACGGAGTTTTGCGATCATCAAATACAAAATTTTCCTTTTACAAATTTTATTAGATCCAAGTATAAAAAATACAATCTGTCTTTTTCTAACGGCAATTCATAGCTGATTTATGGAATCGCAGGCGAGTAAATCTATACGGATGTTTAGCAAATATTCGGCTTTGAGCGTTCCTGATGAAGGTAAATCCAGAAAAGTACTTCGGACGCATGAAATTAATAACTTGTTGTTTTCATTTTTTACAGCACTGGGTCGATACCTCTACCGGTGGACTATCAGTCCCCGAGGGTAACTATCATCAGCTCAGTTCGGTACTGACATTATTAATAACAGACCTTTCTAAAATTGTCCGTCTATGAATTTAAAAATAAAAAAAAACCGAAGGTTTCAACTCCCTCAGGCAAAGTTGAACTTAGATGGATTTGGCTATTTTTAAGTACTTTTTGGTTATATAGCTCTTCAACTGTTTCGATTCTTATATATCCTCGGCTTTCAAATATTGGACTTTGAGCATTCCTGATGAAGGTAAATCCAGAAAAGCGCTTCGGACGCATGAAATTAATAACGTGTTGTTTTCATTTTTTAAGTTAAACAATAAATAGAGACGAATGAGGGTCTCAATTATTTACTGATATAAAAGAGAGGGGGGGGGGGGGGGCAACAGACAAACAACAATACACAAAACACAACATAGAAAACTAAAGACTGAGCAACATGTTATGGTAAACCAAATATTTGATGGTGTTATAGTTCTACTTTCCAACCACTAACGAGGGTCTTCGGTGGCCGAGTGGTCTGAGTAGTTCAACTACTGTATCAATAGCCTGTCAACACTGTCGTTGTGAGTTCAACCCCGCACGTGGCAGCTGCACTCAACTGCAGTCTTAATTGACTAGGATTGTCAGTTTTCCTGTCCAAGGTCGGTTGTTCTCTCCGGGCACACCGTCTTCCTCCACCAATAAAACTTTCCGCGATGAAATAACACAATAGTGCTGAAAGTGGCGTTTAACACAAACCAATCAATCAATCAATCAACCAAACCACTAACAGTTAAGATATTCAGTGATATCTCATGATTAAAATAACAAGCGGATATATTGATATTTTATTGTAAATAAGAATTAAATAAGAGAAAAATAGAATCCATAGACCATAAAGCGAGATACTGCAATACATATTTCGTAACTAGTAAATTACTTCATTAAACATGTATGTATCGCAGTAGTTCAATCGATGTGCAAGTTCAACAACATTTTTAGTATAATACTTCGAGTTAAAAGGCCAGTTTTTGATTGGGTAATATGAAAATGACATTCTACTCCAACTTAAAGGGCAGCGGTGACAGTTTTTGTAATGCCCACTCCAGGTACAGTGCAATTAAAATCTATAATTTAAATGGCATTACTTGAACTTTTGAATCAATAACTTTAAAGAAAAATTTTGATTTTAAACCTTAATATTAAAAGACCTGATTTTAGATTTACAAGACATAATACATTTGTAACAGATCATTCAATATAATAAATCAAATTAGACATAACTGAGAGGGTAATTGTTATCCCTAAAAAAAACTTGACTTCACCTCGGTTGACAATTTATTGTTCTCTTTGACCCCTAAGCTATGTGTTATTATTCAAGTTTGGAAAATGTCACTGTTAACATAGCATACATAAACAAGTTTTCATGTAATGCATATGCTGCTCACAAGGAAGCTATTAAACCAAGAGTTCCAAATGGTGAAGTTGAAGTCATCCCTTCGTAAATTTTACGGACGCCATCACGAGTTGGTTGACCGTTATGGAATAACCGTTTTACAGATGATATCGGATATGTTCCTTATGTCGTAACTACAATACCCTCCCTTTTCACGAATGTGACTTACCGAATTAGACTATTTACCGGATTTGTAATAACATAAGCAACACGACGGGTGCCACATGTGGAGCAGGATCTGCTTACCCTTCCGGAGCACCTGAGATCACCCCCAGTTTTTGGTGGGGTTCGTGTTGCTTAGTCTTTGGTTTTCTATGTTGTGTCATCTGTACTATTATTTGTCTGTTTGTCTTTTTATTTTTGGCCATGGCGTTGTCAGTTTGTTTTCGATCTATGAGTTTGACTGTCCCTCTGGTATCTTTCGTCCCTCTTTCAATTGAGTAAAACATTGGCTAATATAGGAATAAAAATTATTGTAAATTTGATTTTGTTGACAACTACTTTGTGTATGCATGTATTGAAAAGCAGATTAATATTATGTTAAAAGTATAATCATAAAAATATTACCAGTGCCCAGTAAAAGAAACAATTTAAATGACTAAAATTTTTCAGACTAGTTCGTATATTAGAATATACTTAAACAGATTCCAAAGAAGCGACTCAACATAACTTTGCATACGTAATGTATCGTAGGAAAATGGTCTTCAACCTTGAGTAATACCTTATCAAGTGAAAGAGTAAAATGAAATAGGTTCCAAATATATATTTGTCAGGAGTACATTATTAAGTACAGTTAATAATTCAGTTATTCTTTTCCATTATAATTGATCAGTAGATTATGACAGTCTCAACGTTTCAAGTTAAGAGGGGTCTGTTTAAATTCTGTGTGAAAATCAGTGAACTGGACTCCCATGAATGTGCCCTGATGTACTTCTGTATGCGTTTCATCCTCTCCTCTATAGAACGTCGCTGTGAACGGGACATTGAACTTTCCTTCTGTAAGTTTTGATGTCAATGTCACCCTAGAAATATAGCAAATATATATATCACTGGCTCTATTCATTTTAAAAATTAAATTCATTGTAGTATAAATATTATTATATAACAACACTATCATCTATATCATGTATATAGCTATATATTCAAATTCGTTCCCCCATAAATCATTTTGCAAGAAAAATGCTACCTCATATTAAATAATATATATATATATATACTCATACCACATCTTCTTATATCTATATAGTCTAATGCCTTTTATGAGTGTTGAAATCCCTATGTTCACATACTGCACATATTATTAAGTGTATTTCACAGCCTTTGATTAAGGACATTAAGTCATTATTATAAATTCAAATAATTTTTAAATATCAAATGCAGTAAGGCAGTTTGAAATATATCTTAATTGATCAATGTATTGACTAGCAAATATAAAGATAGAGGAGATCAGAGGGAAATCAAACTTCCAATGTAAGTTATTTTTAAAAATAAGAAGATATGGCATAATTGCCAATGTGACAACTCTCCGCAGGAGACCAAATGATACAGAAATTAACAACTATATGTCAGCGTACGGCCTTCAACAATGAGCAAAACCCATACCGCATAGTCAGCTATAAAAAGGCCCGAAATGACAAATGTAAAACAATATAAACGAGAAAACTAACGGCCTGATTTATGTACAAAAAAATGAACGAAAAACAAATATGATATACAGCAACAAACGACAACCACTGAATTACAGTCGCCTGACTTGGGACAGGCACATACAGAATGTGGCGGGTTAAACTAGTTTGTTGGCGCCAAACCCTTTCCCTAACCTGGGACAGTGGTGTAACGGCACAACATAAGAACAAACTATGAAAACCAAAAAACCTCCATGAGAAACAGCAAAAAACGACAACCACTTAATTACAGGCATATTTTATAGTTTGTTGATATGTTGTTCTGCATAATCATTGTTCCAGGTTAGGGAGAGAATCGAGTGCTCACAAGACATGTTTAATTTCGCCGCATCCAGTAGTTTATATATTATGTACACTTGTGTTTTCAAATGCATCACCGCACAATAAAGTACTACGCATCGATATGCTGAACACTATAGGACAGAAACAAATGGCAACGGAAAATTGTTTTTATCTATATTACATCAGTACATCATTCATGATGAACATGACCTTAAAATACTAATTATCATGTAAAAGTCATGCAAAGCAATTCGGATATAGATGATAGATGAACTTTGTTAGAAACATATATAGATACAAGAAGATGTGGTATGAGTGCCAATGAGACAACTCTCCATCCAAGTCACAATTGTAAAAGTAAACCATTATAGGTCAAAGTACTGCCTTCAACACGGAGCCTTGGCTCACACCTCACAGCAAGCTATAAAGGGCCCCAAAAATGACAATAGACAAACAGTAAAATAACTCTTACAAAAAATGTTATAAAAAGCCCGACGTAAAGACTTCCTTAAGTAATACAAAACAGACATCTAACAAACACAGGGCAAACACAGAGATTGTAAGAAATCTTAGTAAAACCATAACAAAAAATCTTAACCATAACAATAATTAATACATTGATTGGTGTTTGCTTTACGCCACCTCAAAAAAACTGTTTGAAAATGTTGAAATACGGTAATTTAATATTTTTGGATTTGATAAAATAAGGACAACATACCCCGCTCGCACTATCTCATTTCATTGTAAGATGAATCGTGAAAACCGTAAATATGAAATATAATAGCAACCATCACAATAAACATGTATTATAATACTTAGTTTAACAGTTGATGTGGTGAAACTACTTTACCAAATATTTCAACCTCAGAACGCACTGATCTCTATCACATTTCCATTGTCAGTGAAATATGAAATCGGAGTCAAAAGATTTGTCATGTAATTTAATTACACATCACAATGATCATATGTAAAAAGTTTAACTTTAACTTTAAACCGATACGGGACAGTAAATTGAAATCAGGGCTTTCATTAATAGCATTAAAAAGACTAATTAACACAGTGTGAAACTGAGAAAGAAAAGAAAATGTTTGAAATACGGTAATTTATTGTTTTTGGATTGATAAAATAAGCAACCCTATCAAAGTTATAAAAAATACACCATCATTGAACGGCCCTATAGCATTACCTATATTTTAAATGCAAGTATTCAGTGTTAAAAAGCACATGATGGCTCACTGCAAGAAAGAAATATAGAGAAAGATAACTAAACCCTTTAACAAATAAGCCATTACTTAAAATATTAAGGCACACATACGTTGATTTTGCTGGAATTTTGCTTGGGTATTCCGCTTTCCATTGTTGGATAAAAGATGTCTTTACTCCTGTTGTTTCGCCAATGTTGAGAGACCTCTCCACGCTTACTTGTAACTTCAAGCTTGATCCTAATTCTGGGATGCCAGCTGTTGCTTCTAGTGAAGCTGCAAATGCAAATTGAAGCAAAGAATATTCGGTCTAAGTTATTTTTTTTACATTTATTTCAACAGTTCAAAATTTTAATTTTCCTCTTAAAAATGAACGTTCAATTTTCATTAAATTATTAATTCTTATTTATAACTTTTCATTAAAAATCTATGCTTATGTAAACAATAATGGAAAGCATATCTAGAATTGAATCTTTAAAAAAGTACATTTTGTCGTCATGAGATATATTAGCTATAGAGCAAATTACTCAACTATAAAGGGGTTGCTTTCTTGAAATATTGGTGGCATCATAGGACATTATTTTTGACATTACATTTCAAGGAATGATTTCAATCAGGTTTTTGTTTAACATGCCCATTAGTTTCAGTGAGAAAGATTTTTCAACAATGAAAAACTCGAAATGATAGAAATTGTGAGCAATTAGCCTTTGATTTAGATGGGCTATAAAAGTTTATTATGATATACAGGAAGACAATACATCCAATGCTATGTGTTTTAAGCGCGTTAAATGATAATTCCATTAACATTTACCGGGGAATGAAGGGACATTAGTTGCTTTTAATAATGAAAAACCCATATGTATGTGGTATGCCCTTATACTTTTGAAATTGGAAGTGAAATTGGAAGTCAAATTACTCAACGTTATCACCCCACTTAACAAGTTTTTTTTTCAACTTCAATGTTTCACTATAATTGATTAATTGATTGATCGATGTTTTTTTAACATCTAGTGGAAAATATGTCATGCATATTCAGGACGAGAATGAATGAAAAATAAATCCAATAAGTTGGTTCTGTAAAGGATGTAGACAGGGATGAAGGGCGGAAGATTTTTACTACCACTGGACCAAAAGTTAATGCTGCAGTAGGGTTAAAATCTTGCCTTGCACACCATCAGAGAGTTGTTGTTCTTTAAAGCCCCAAGAACGGGTTCTAACCCCACATGACACATCGGTATTGACCTCTCAAAATTCCAATCGGACGTGACTACGTATTTAGATCTCCCGCACATCAAAATTTACGTCCCTTTCTATACCCTATCCTACAATCAGGGTGAAATATTTGAATGGACAGTCCAATCATTAATTCAATCTGTTGTGTGAGTTTTGCAGATAAAGAGATAAAAACGTGCATGTAAACATATGAACTACAGAAACGCTAGACCGTGAGATCTTCCATGAAAAAGCATGAGTTTGTATAAATATATTCACTTGTAATTTTAAATCCAAAATCCCATCTGAATTCGTAGGTATTCTCCCGTGTTATTTTCTGCTCATCAGTTCTGTTAACAGTCTGTTCTACTTTAGTATCGTTGACCTCGGTCCACTGAAAAACGCTTCTAGGTGTTGTGTGAAGGATTGCATTCTCCAAATCATACTCAATAGTCTTTAGCTTGAGTGGCCCTACTGGAAACTGAAACAGAGAAGTCATTATTATCATCACCATCTAATATCGTTAAAATGTGTTCGAATAGTATTATGTTGCTGCTTTCTTTATTTCAATGTTTTATTAATATCGTATTTTTTTTTTAATAAAAGATGAAGATTTTAAACCATTTCTTTATAATACTGTATGATTAAGTTTTATTCTAATGTCGTTAAGTATTATAAATTTGTCTTGATTATGTAATACCTACCAGCTGTATTTTACGAAGCGCCGAAATACCATCGTTTGGGAAACCGCCATCAATATTAGGGTTTTGTGTAGGTGTATAGTCTCCCTTAAGGAAGAGGGTCTGACTGCCTGCATAATCCCTGCCATCATATCCAACCCAACTACATAAAAATATATTAAATATACATTATTGGTAGTAGTGGGCAGTAAATCAAATCTTTCATAATGCAGATTCAACGGTGTGTGTTTGTAAAACCCGGATTGACAGTAGGAACCTAGTCAATGTTTCCCTTTTGTATAATCCATGGTGCTAATTTAGGAGACCTGTTTTTTATAATTTTGAACTATTTTCATTAGTTTGTTTAATAAGATTATACATGCTTTTTTCTTGTCATTAAGTTAATGTTGTTTTTGTCACAAATCGTATAAGTTGGTTTATATGGCAATAAAAGTTTGATTTGATTTGATTTGATATATTTTGCTTCTCCAACTACGAGATTGCCAGTAGTTTAATCAGTATGACTCTGTACCTCAATATTTTCGTCATCATCAAAGTATCAAAGTCACCAACGCACCACAATTTTCCCTAATGATACAAGATTTGACCAAATACCGACGTATAATTTCAAACAAGGGCGGTTTTAAACGAAAAAAAAAATTACTGTTCATTCAAATTTTTATGCAACATCGTCATTACTACACCTCATTTTTATTAACAATTTTGAAGTTGAACAAAAACATGCATTTCACTTGCTTTCGATTTCTTGGATGACTTCTAACGATATGCGAATGGAGAAAAAACAAAACCATGTAGCAAATATAATTGATTATTTTTCATGTGTGGAAAACAAACTTTTAATGTCTTCAATTAATAATTTATTTTGTTAACATTTGGTAAGTGGGGATTTGGGGGATATCGAACTGCCTAAAGTCGTTAATACATTCTTTACCTCCATGTTGTTGTTGACGGCCTCCGCAATTCATATTATTTAATCCTGCAATGATACTTGATGTAAACGGTAAAGTCATAGTAGAAAAATTGTCTTTTGCTAATGATAAGATTAAGATGCGCATATGGTAATAATCTTGCACAAACCAACTATATACTTACGCTCCTCTTAGAATTCTTACAGATGAAATCATGCGCAAAAATCCAAAATGATCAAGATTTGCAACATCGTTGCGAAAGGTCAATGTTCTGCCTTCAAATGTGACTGTGTTCAAAGATACAGATTTCTGGTTCTGCATAAAAATCCTTGAAATGAAATCGAAATATTTTGAAATATATTTCACATAAACACAATAAGCACAGAAATGCATCATTACAAATTACCATCAGTGGCAGAACAGGGGACAATTAGGCAAATTGCACGTCCATCTCATGTTCTCGTAGCTGAGGGAAAAAAGTTTACGCTCATAACTTCCCCTAAAAACACTTACAATAAGTTTTCATATTACAATGTTAAGACGTCGGTGTAAAATGAAAAACTACAATATATCTGGCCTTGAAAATACCCTTGACAAATCATACAATGGAAAGTCCAAACAATTCCATTTTTCTGTCAGAATATATTTGGTGGGAACATAAAATCTCAAATGGTCCAGTGGTTTTCAGAAAATTCTCAGAAAGTATTAAGATAGGAATAAAAATTTAGATTTAAAGGTGAAAGTGACAAAACAGTAAATAATACATTTCCATAGCACACTACATTGGAATAAGTAAGAGAATTTAAAGAAAATTCGTAGTTTTTCGTTTGCATCTTCAACCTGTCGACAGGTTAGTGATGTTGATGAAAGCTTGTTTTAGTAAAATTTTGAATTACCAGAAATAAAAACCAAAAAGAATAGAAATTGAAAATATTTTTTTTCGGTAAAATTTTGTTTAAACTCTTTTGAAGTTTAAATATATATATTTGGCCTACAGTTTCGAATTGTATTACAGTTGTTTCATGAATCATTTATTTTTATTAAAAATAATATAAAAGGCTCTCATAATTCTTTTTCGGATGGATCTTGTTTTATTTATGATGTCTATTGATATTTTGTAAATATTTTAATAAGAGTTGAAATTTAAATAAAATATAGTCTAGTCTTGTCTTGTAAAGTTAGGGTCTTTTTAAATCATTGACCCAATCAGTCAAAAAGGCTGTGGTCAGGCATCATGCACAAAGTACATTTTGATTATTGAAAAGAGAGAACGCCCAGGAAGTCAGTGTTCAAGTTACCATTTCCGACAAGTCACAATTTTAGTTTTGATTGCTGGTTTCTCAAGAAAAAACTTAAGTCCTTAAGAATGTTTCTTTATTTTACACAAAGACCTTATAAAAAATCATCAGACAGCCAAAAAGTCAATACGATGAAAAAAAATCTTTCAATTCAACTTTACTTGCACCAAACTCAAAACTCAAAACTACCTTACCAATGCTTACTCAAGTTACATAGAACTGACGTCTGGAGGCCAACATACGGCCTTGAACGACTGACAAGCCCCCAAAAAAATGACAAAATCCTTAACTGGAAGTCGTAATAGCGATTATTGAAATATACGCGCATGCATGGGCACAATTGCGCAAACACGTAGAAGATGTGATATAATTTTGAGATAAATCTTTTTAGCAGAAAGCCCAATGTAGTTCTCCGTTTCTATTAGAAACATAAGACTAAACATTAAAGGTGATTTAATGTGCTGAAATAATAGCACCGGTTGTGAAAAGTGCCAAATTCCGGCTCACATTTAAAATTCATTCGGAAACCCCAAATGCACATACCTTAATGATTACCAATTTAAACTCAATAAAATGAAGAAAAAAAAGGATACAGGGCTTGATGAAATATGTTTAATGATTTAATACATGATGCGTGCTATGCATTTGCCAGTTGTGAAGGAGCTAGTTTGTGAGTTATATACACCAGTAGAAAGTTTTTACAATCTATTGACTTTGTTGATGTCAGTGCTGTATGAATCTTTGTATGAAATAGTTGATTATTTTTTTTTATAGATTCTTGCAACTAGACTGATGCGTGTGTGTACATTTACTAATTCATCCATATAAAATAACTTTTGAAAAGTTACGGATACTATGCTATATTAATAAATCGTTTAATTCTAATTAGATGTTGATATTTCAGGATGACGCTGTTGATTTACTTGATTTGCTTTAACTTAATCTTTTAACAACCAAATTGTAATGTTCCCATTAATAATTATAAGCAGATACATTAAAACGGTATTTGGCTTTGATAAAATCTGCATGTGTTTAATATAAACACCACTAAATACGTACATATTAATTCCATTAAGACATTCAATATACTTTTACTGTATTTATAATGCTTTATCTTAAATTAAAGTCAATTTTCTAAATCCTTCCTAAATAATAGGTTGGTATCATTTGTAATTATCCAAAAAAGCATGATGTATATAACATATGCCGCATCGGCCAAGGGGTATAAATATAATATAAAAATACATAAAAAAACAGACAGAAACACGTACATAATCGTTCAGGAGTTTTAATGATCTTGACATCTTGTTAAACCATCTTAAATATTTTATTTTCTGTCCTTGCATTACCACACAAATTTTCCCTGTATATTCATAATTTTGGAACAACACCCATCTACAAAGAAATTTAAAAATTAACCAAGTTACACAAGTACAACTTTAAAATTATTTTCAGTTAAACTTTGATTCTAACAGGGCTTTGTTATTACCAAGACGTTAAAAAGAAGAAAAAATAAAAAAAATGAAAGAATTGATTTATGAGTGATTGCGCATACAAACCACCAACAGAAACGAAACGGTAAGTAATTTTTAATAAATTAATACATTGTCTAGTCTGTATGATTTAATGGAAACATGGTGCATAAAAAGTGCCGGAGACGAGCAGATGTACGATTTAAAATTTTCGATCTTTCCTGCCATATGCAAAAAATAAGGAAAAAGGGTCATATATAAACTATTGGTATTGTAATATCGTATGGATTAAATAAGTGAAAAATAGGTTAAAATATCAAAGAATATTTCCTAAATTAAAATTTAAAGACAAAAATAAATAGAAAGAAGGGGGTCCATTCCCCAAGCACATGTGGGGTAGGCATTATATTTGTCAACATATCTTTATACCGAGCTTCTGCGAGGTGTAAAATGTTGATAAAAATATGGTCTACCCATTATAAATTGAGCATAGAACATGGCATTTATAAAATTATTTCGTTTCTAATAGGAACATTCTTAACTTTTGTACTTCGAATCGGACTTATACACTGTAAGACACGTTCGAAAGGAAGCCATTTCCATTTGATGAAGCAAAAACGTTCCAGAAAACCAACTGCTTTACGATGAAAAAAATTAAACATGTAAACTTACTTTTAGAATGATTTTCTTTTATTTCCTAGAAAGCAAGACCAACACAAATGTCCATATTGATATCCGGCGGTGTTCAAAATACAATTGACGTTACAATTTTAATTGTGACGCCACGCACTTGCACCCCATGTTCTTTTTGTTTAGAAAGGAAAAGAATAATCATATAAGAATTCGTTTCGATACATCCGAAACTGTATAACCGTTATACACTTGTACTCTTTCGTAGTTTCTGTGTTGCTCAATCTCTGGTTTCATTGTAATGTTTGTCTCACATCAAATTTTGACTCTTATATATACGTTTTTTTTTGGGGGAGGGGGGGGGGGGATGAATAGTTTTTCACAGCTGTGTGCAGATAATTTCGATTGGCTTCTTCGAGATTGGTAATTAAAATGAATAATATGCTGCATTTGAATTGATTTCGATTACCTTTAAGAAATTTGAATTTCGTACTGTCAATGTACTTACACGCCTCCGTCAACAGATACACTAACTGCTGATTGGTCGAACCCAGCATCCAGCATATTAGGGCATGATTCCGTAAATACTTTACTCCTACCTTTGAGATTTTCATGATCATACAAAGTTATCTACAAAACATAAATCATGCATGACGAAAAAAAAAACCCAACAACAACAGACTTTATTGAATCCGTCGTGTGGTAGTGAAACACACAAATGAGTAAACGAAAACAGTGGGACATACTTAAACAAAAGAAATAACGTTAGTGTGTTATCCGATCTCTAAAATACACAAAGCGTCAGGAATAAAATACAAAATACCAGAAGAAGTATTGAAAAACATCAATTGGTCATTTTTTTATTATTTTTTTAATAAATGCTTTTAGCCAGGATCGGTGCCAGACTTTGGAGTAAAACTATTATCAACCATATTCAAAATCTTCTTCGGATGGCTGCGCAAGGAGTTTGTTAAGTAACAATTCATGTACTTAGTCAAAACACTTAAAGTTGGAATCAATACAGACGGAGATAAAATTGGGATTTCGTTATACGCAGATTAATGTTTCTTCAATCCCGTTCCTCTGATTATCTTCAGTGACTCTTGGTCTATCTTAGTACACGATGTACACATCGTAAAGGCTGAAAAGTCAAAAGTCGTGTATTTGAAACAAACATATATTGAAGAAAACATTTTTTGTTTCGATCGTTGGGACTTCCAATTTCAACTGTGGAATCTTAATATACTAATCGGAACATTTTGACTATACTCTGATGGCAAGTAATGTTGCGAAATCAGAAAGCAGTGCACTTGAACTGGTTATAGCAATGTTTAAAACATTCGCCAAACTTCCATATAAATCGTACACACATTCTTACCTATATATGGTGCTTCAAATGGGTACAAAGAATTTTATATGACTGTATAACTGTTGGAATACGTGGTAAATCATTGGAATAGACTCCAATGTTTTAATATTGGATGTTTTAATAAAAATACTTCGTATTGGCTAAAAAAACCAAGCAATTTTTAACTACAAAAAGTAGAATTTTAAAATCAGTGAAAAACATGTTACTTTAATTATTCTTCCCTTAGTTTATTTATTTTGTACTTACATTGTATCATAGATCAAATTTATTTGTTCAGTGTATGTTCACTGGTGTTAATATATCTTTTGATTGAGTTAAGCCATTTCAATTTATATTTTATAGTGTGTCTTTCTATGTTGTGATGTTACACTATTGTTGCAGATAAGGGTGAAGGTTTGGTACCATTAAAACGTTTAAACCCGCTGCAATTGTTTGCACCTGTCCTAAGTCAGGAATCTCATGTTCAGTAGTTGTCGTTTGTTGATGTGGTTCATAAGTGTTTCTCGTTTCTCGTTTTTTATATAGATTAGACCGTTGGTTTTCCCGTTTGAATGGTTTTACACTAGTAATTTTTGGGGCCCTTTATAGCTTGCTGTTCGGTGTGAGCCAAGGCTCCATGTTGAAGACCGTACTTTGACCTATAATGGTTTACTTTTTATAAATTTTGACTTGGATGGAGAGTTGTCTCTTTGGCACTCATACCACATCTTCTTATATCTAATTATAGAATGTAGAATTTTTGAACGATGCAGTAAACACACTGACAATATAATCTTTTCCGGAATATAAGACATTATATGCATTATGATTTAAATGACTATTATATCTTGAAAACAGACAACCTAAGTAACGCATTTTATATTTGAGACTGAACCATATCATAGTGTGAGCTAGCCCTAATTATTCAGTTGTGGGTACGTCAAGTTTAGATGTTTCGAGGCCAAAGATATCAAAATTTTGCGCGTACTAGGAAGGATTTCTTTGTGCTGCCCGAACTCCATTGAAGACGAAAAGCAAGTATTTTTATGTTGTCCATTGTATAAAGATATTAGGGAGAATGTTTTAATGAGTTAAATCATAATAGTCTTTATTGTCATATCAGTATACAAGTATACATGTGACAAATACAAATCGTTAAAGGTTGATGATTTAAAAAAAAAAAACGGTTCTAGTCAAGAAAGCTATCTGTGATTCTATGCAGGGTAAGTAATAACCGTTTGTGTGTCAAAACCTGCGGAGATATTTTAGATAGACGTCGCAATTTTCTATAAATATGAAGATATTTAAAATGGTTCAAGTCCTTTTCAAGTTATATGTTTTTTTTATATTTAGGACATTTACATATCGTTGAATATTTTCATATACGATGTGCGGTGTACTTGTTTAAAAGGACATAAGGTGCCAAATGTATTCAAACTTTCAAATTTGATTTAATATATACCAAAAACCTAAGACAGAATTACAAAAGTTACATAGAAAACAAACGCAATGTTTGGATTCGTAATAAAGTATCAACATTTCGAGTGTATTTCCGACAGGATCCCATCTTATTAACAATCATCAGGATACTCGAAAACTGTCGATAGGCATGTGACCCCGTTTTAACTATAAATATTGACAGACAGGTAAACATAAAATACAAACATACACTAGTATAAGGTCGATTTTCTTAGGTCTGTTTGATCTCACTTAAAAAAATATCAATTAAATTAAACCTGTATAAGACCGATTTTTTTGTGGGTCGACACAATCAACGAAATCGGTCGTCTTGCCGTTGCCGTCCCTTCTTTCTTTCTTTTTTCATCCGACATGTGCACAACCCATTTCCAATAAAAGTTAAATCAAAGTTCGCATGAATATGAATGTAAATGAGGTTGACCTATTAACTTGTAAGTCAATAACACATCATTAATGTATTTGATATAAAACAAGGAGCTGTGATATGATTGCCAAATGAGATAACTATCCACCAGAGTCCAAATGACGTGAATGTAAGCAATTATAGATCACCATACGTCCTTCAAATCTGATTGATTGATTGATTGGTGTCTAACGCCACATTCAGCACTATTGTGAAATTTTGTGGCGGTCAGTTTTTATTGGTTGACGGGTAGCCGGTAGAAAAACTGACAATCCTAGTCATTTAAGATTGGAGTCAAACTCACAACCTGAGTACTGACAGGCTAGTGATACAGTATTTCGAATGTGGCGGAGCTTATTTTGACATATTTGAATTAAACTGACTGTTAATAACTAAATATTATTTCAATATTCTGCTTTATAAATGTTTGAAACACATACAAATCATATTTTAATGTTTTGTCTTAATGTAGCTAATGCCCTTTAAGGTGAGACTTAAATACATAAATATTGTATTATATTGTATTATCTCTTTGATATATTCTACATTGGAAAGGTTTAGATTAATCTTAATCAAGTTAAATATTGTCTTCTCTAGATAGAATTTTTCTGCTTATACATTGCACTTCTGAAAATTAGTAATCACTTATCAAACTTTAAGTTACTTTTAGTACTCCTTAATTCTAGGGTACTGCAACCGATATAACAGTCTATTGCTTTTGTGATAGAAATGTTTCAAACTTAATTGCATAAGAAAATTATTATAATTGAAGTCTATCATTTAATTTTTAAAATTAATATTATGAAAACATTTTAAGCAATTTTCATCTTTTCCTTTAAATTTCAACTAATTGATTAATTGTTGTTTGCTTAACCTCTAGTGGCAAATATTTCATGAATGTTCAGGACGATGCAAGGTAGGTGTCGATCGGGAGGGAGGACGTGGCATTTGGATCGCCACTGGAAAGTTAGGGTATGTTGGATACGGACAGGAATTTCGTCTTGCAACAGACCCCCGAGAGTGGTTGTAAATGTTTTTTTAATGTGCAGATAGTGCGCAACTCGCTACACGAGGCATTGGATTTACTATCACCATTCTGGCCGGACGTGGCTGCGTATTTATATAGCCCGTGCAGCCAATATGTCGCCCCGTTTTAGTAAGGGTTCTTAATCTACTGAAAGGTTTCGATGAATATATACTGTTCATATCTATATAGACACCTTACCTTTGGTTCCATGACTACAGAGTTCTAAAATGTAAGATATCACGTTTGATCAATGTCATAACATTTTGGTTACGTATGATATACATACAATCTTCGCATTATTTGCAATAATATCTTCTATGAATACAGTTAAACGGATTTTCATTTAAAAATCCACACAGCATAAAAAATATGGTTGATTAGGAAACAAATTTGGACAGATCCCTGAAAAGGAGTATATTGGAAAGACCCCCTTAAAAAGTAGTTAGAAGTCGTCTTCAATTAAAAATAGCGAAACCAAATAGTTTAACAATATTTACCAAAGACTGTGCTACAACATGAGACAATATTTATAAATGAAAAATATCTCAAATATAAAAAATCTGCACTAAAATTTTTCCTCCAGTAACTGACATTTTATGGTAGGTAAGCAAATATCCCCCAATCATCAAGAAATGACCATAAATGATCTAAAGAGAAAACTTGGTGCTAATGATTTATAAATACTTGAATAATTGATGAGCTATATGAACAAAAGAGATATAAAAAAAAAGCCATGTCCACTTTAGGTCAACTTTGAATTCTTGAATTTCATTAACGGTACCAATGTTACTGCATTTCAACAATTAATGTCTCTTCAATGATGTTCGAAACCAGAATATTATAAAATCAAAACCTTATAAAACATTAGGATTATTTATTACACCAGTTCAGTTCAGAATGAAGTTCTATTAAATTCAAATATAGGGCAAATGTTAAGTTTTTTCTTAAACATGTCCAGTTGTAACGTATTCTTATACAAGAATAAAGATTCGGGAATTTTGTTTATTGCCAATTGGAATATCTTGTTCTTTTAACTGCTTTTTCGTTCATTTTTTCTTTGTTTGAACTTTGAGATTTTTTCCAACTTAAAACAGTAAAATATTAGATTTTAACTTACCTAAAACGAATAAAATATATGTATTCCTCGTCGTCCTTCTTGAAACAATTGTGTACTACGGTTGAAACATTTTCTTTATTTATACTCGTACGGCCACGGTTGCATGATTTGAAATTTTTATTATCCAATGTATATACTTATTTTCACAAAATTTGATTGGCTCATAGAGATGCATAATTTTACATCGTAAGATATTGCAACATATTTTTTTTATAGATCACTGGACTTTCAGTTAATTGTTGTGGCTGAGATAAAAAAAAACACTTTAAAGATACAATAGTCTTTAAAAAGGAATACATAGACACTTATATAAAACCGTTCAGACAAACCTTTAATTAAAAATTTCCTCGGTCTTATATTTTAATGATAATCAGACTATAAGAGTACGAGTAAAACCTCATCTGTCACTTTGCTTCGTTACAAAAATAGAAAGAATATCTGGTTTCAATCTGACTTATAATACTTAAAATTCATTTCGAAAAGCATATATGAAATATCATTTCTACAATTTACAATTGAAAAAAAATGACCCCAAGTAAACCCCTGGCCACAGTAAGGCGTCCGTTTGGCTGTGCGTGATGTGTTCATTCGATTTCGCGTCCGGTCAGAATGAGAACATAAAATCCGATGCCTGTTGAAGGAAGAATGCTCCATTGCCTCCGGTAGAGGTAACGAGCCACGCTCTTGGCACGTTAAACAGTCTTGGGCCATTAGGTGGCCTGTTCTAAGACTAAATTTCTGTACCTATCAAATATACCCTCATTTTTGAGTGGCATTTACAATTTCCCTCTCCTCATCCCGGTCGACCCTATTACAAGACCTTTCATTGTTCATTTGTTCTCGTCTTGAACATGCATGAAATTGTTTCCACTGAAAGTCAAGCAAACAACAATCAATCAATTATGAGAAGACATTCTTATGATTTTAAAAAAGAAAATATTGGTTTTCAGTTTTGCCTTCTAAACTTTAAACTTTCCTCGTGTCTTGAAATAGTTGATGTCTCGGGAGACAATAAACTTGATATTGTCCTCATAGTTAGTATACATAAGTGTTTTATTATGCAGAAATAAACTGGTATATTCGTGCACAATGTATGGTTATTCTTCTACTGTTCAAAATGAAATATTTTGGGTAAACCATTATTAATTATTTTGAAGAGGACGAAATAAAAATCCGCAAAACTATAATGTTTATTGACGTCATAAATAAAAGACTATGAATACGCTTTGTAAACGCCATAAACAACGCGATTTACGGTCAGTTTAATTACTGTATATATCACAAATGACAATACGTTCAATGCAATTTGACTGCGGAAATAGCACAGAGGAAGTATAAACAATCATTCAGATTGAAGTCAATTTAAACGATACAGAAAGTTTAAGTCTTTTTGCGGGAAAATATTTGCCTCCAGTAAAAAGTTTTTAGCCAGTAAATAGTTTTTGAACTGTTAACCAGTAAAAAGTTTTTTTCAGACAATTTCATAAAAAAAGTAAATTTATTCGACTATAATTTTATAAAGAAAGTACATACTGAGGTATAATTGAAATTGCTAATATCAATTGTTTTATCCTATTTTTCTTAAATTTTGATAATATATTCAAGGCTAAGTTTGATTAAATGTGGGCGCCCCTTATCCGAAAGTGAGAGTTAGGACAAAAATACCGCAGAATTAGTTCAAGGATATCAGAACCACAGTGCACTGAAAATGCAGACAAAAAAAATTTGTATTATTGACGTGTGTTGTCTAGTTTAAAATCTACAGATATCATTATGAGAGTTTCATTTTTTATTTGTTAGTATATAAATATCAAACAATTTACATAAAAACCTGTCTTAAATACCGCACACATAACGTTCACTATGTACCGCGATTGATGTAACGTCACGTTATCTTGACGTTTTACTATGGCTTTCCAATACATCTATCAAGTAGTCAAGACGTCTTTTCTTTTTATCAACCACTATGTGATATTATGGTCCCGTAACCAAAAGGGAAAATGGATACAAAGCTTAAAACCATTCGTTCCGGACACAAAGGAGTAATTATAAAATTTTGGAAGAATTCTGGAGACGTTTTTGGAGATTATTCCTACTACGAACCCGTCTATGAACATTCCAAGTTTACATTCGTCTTCTAGCGCAAATAATCAGTACCACAAACTACCAAAGTTGAACCTACCTACTTTGAAGGGAATATTTTAGATTGGTAATCCTGTTGGGATTCATATGAGACATTTATTACATTGGTTGCAATGCATTACCGTGATTTCCCAATGAAATAAAAACGATAATTTCACATGTGAAATAAACTCGGTTATTTCACTCCTCTGACGTCATACAACAATAGGTGTTGTCAAGACGTCGTCGATGACGTCGCACCAAATCAAATTGTGAATGAGTAGAAAAAGATATAGTCCCTTATATTTTCTACTTTAATTCCATTAAAAAGCCCATTGTCAATGTAATAAAAAGAATAACTAATCAAAGAATTAAAAAATCGAAAAATATTCAACTCGTTACCGAACAACACTGATAATTCACTCCGTTGCAGACCACATCAGGTTTTTCTATGACAAACTCCAACTACGGCAAAGCTATTTCATTATTACAAGAGAGGTATGGACAGATTCATACTATAATACAAACATACATGCAAGTTCTACTTGATATTCCGCAGACAATTTATGCTTTAGCTAGTCTCCGCAATTATTATGACAAAACTGAAACTTACGTACGAGGTCTAGAGTAGCTGGGACAGACAGATAACACTTATTATTCACTACTTATACCAGTTATTTTGAACAAGTTGCCCGCAGAAATACGCCAAGACTTAGCTAGAGAACATAGGTCAACATGTAATCATCATTGAAGCCGGAAACTTAACTAAAAAAGTAGAAAGCCCACTCGAGACCGCTACATTCTTGACCAACGCAAAATCACGCTGATTATCAGCATTCAAGAAGAACGAAAGGTCGTACTCGGATATTAAGATAAAAACAAAAAAATGCGCATTTTGCCACGAGATCGGACGCACACCCGTCAACTGCACTAAAGTCACAACCGCATACGCGCATATGAATATAGTCAAGAGCGAAAGACTGTGTTTTAACTGCCTAAGTCACCACAAACTAGCTGACTGTAAATCAAAAAGTTACTGCCGAAATTGTCACAAACGTCATCACACTAGCTTATGTAATAAAGATGAGAAGTCCGAGGAATCGAGCAAATCGCAAGCCAAAGAAACCGGAAATACGGTGTTACACTCTTCCCTCACACAAATAACTACACATGTATTGTTAAAGACCGCCGTCGCTAATGTTAGTTCGGGAAAACAAAGTACAGAAGCCAATATTCTGTTTGATGAAGGTGCGCAGAGGTTCTTCATAACGGAGACATTTGCAGAGAAGTTGAGTTTAGCTACAAACAAGTAGTGCACCTTTCCGGTTTCGGAGAACAAAATAGACAAGTCAGACACATGAAATCGGCAACAGTTTATATCCAAACAGAAAAAAGTGAAAACATACCACTAAACGTACTTACTGTTCCTGAAATTGCAATGCCACTACAAACTCACGTGAAATCTGTTGCCAGCATAAAACACTTGCGAGGAGTAAAATTAGCGCATCATGTGTCGGACGATGACATGTTTGAAATAGAAATACTTATCGGAGCAGATTACTATTGGAATATTGTTGAAGATGACATAGTTAGAGATCATGGACCAACTGCCGTTGAATCTAAGCTTGGATACCTGCTATCAGGACCCACAACCGCAAATACATATACTACAAGTAGGAACTCTATACTTAATGTTATCGTATCACAGAAGACAAAGGAATTAAACCTAGACAAATTCTGGGAGATTGAATTGCTTGGAGTTGAAGATATGACCGAAAATACTGAAAACGACATATTTCAGAAAATGTACGAAGAAACAGCAATTTCGTACAATAACAACAGATTATTCGCAAAACTCCCGTGGAAAATTGAACATCCACCGCTTCCAAGTTACAAGGCTGTTGCTTTGAGAAGGACCGAAAGTGTAATAAGACGTTTAAATAAGGAACCGAAATTACTTCTTAAATATGGAGAAATAATTGATGATTAGGAAAAGAGAGGGTTCATTGAGGGAATTGATAATGAAAATATCACACCAAATATCAAACTTACTTCATTACATACCACATCACCCAGTGAAGAAGGATTCAGTTACGACGCCAATTACGATCGTATATGATTGTAGTTGCAAACACACATCAGATAGGGCTAGCTTGAATGACTGCTTACTGAATGTACCGCATTCCTACTCAGATTTCACAGTATCTACAGACATCGAAAAGGCGTTTCTAAATGTTGGACTGGACATTGAGGACCGGGATGTAACTATTTTTTTCTGGTTGAATAAACCAACAGACCCAAACAGCGATTTAACAACATGAAAATTCAAGTCCGTATTATTCGGTGCTACATGCTCGGCATTTATATTGAACGCCGTATTATCAAAGCACCTGCATAACCATCCATTTGATTTCACGGAAAAACTTACCAATGATTTGTATGTAGCTTTGAATCAGAAGAAGAGCTGTTGAAATACTTCAAACTCGTTCGTAGTTTATTTGCAGATGGAGGATTTAACTTGCGCTCGTAGGCCTCGAACAATCAACTATTACAAGTATTAGCAAGGTCCGAAAAGTTATGGACAAAGATCAACTAATTAAAATCTTAGGATTACGTTGGGATATAGCCATTGACATATTAGGATTCGTTACGCCTAATCTAAATACATCAGAACTAATAACAAAACACGAAGTACTAAAACAATCATCAAGGATTTATGACCCGCTAGGAATACCTAGCCCTATAACCGTCCGCAGTAAAATGTTAATGCAAAACATATGGGAGAAAAACTGGGACGAACTACTACCTGACTCAACGATCACAGAATGGGTGAATATCAGAAGGGATTTCCAGGAAGCCATGAAGACAGTTGTACCCCGACCTTACTTTGATCAAAGTTCGGACTCAAACAAGGACAACGTTCTTCATGTATTTAC